CTAAAAACAACGGTCAATCGTCGTGAAAGTAGGGTGTATCCGGTAACATGACGCGTTTGAACGGCTTGCGAAAATGGTTGATTGATTGTAAAAAGGGTAGTCAACAATCTCGTTTGTAAAGCTGTACCGGAATGCTATTCAAACGCCAGTCAGTTAAAACTAAACTAATTTCCTTTCTAAGTAAAGCTCAAGCCTGGTTCACACTTAGAACACAAATTCAATCACAGATACTACCAACATTCTTTGCATTTGAATTTGACTCTGCTGTTGCTTTGCAAGTGTGAATTAGATTAAGACCTAATGCCCTCCTCCCTTGTAAAATTACGCTCCTATCAGTACACTAAAATGAAACTACAAAGTCAAAGTTTTATTCAAGTGTCAAGCCAAGTATAAAAAAAAAATCAAAAATAGAACGTCAGACCAGTTTAGTACTCTTCTCCTTCCTCTTCGCCTTCAGCATCCACAGAATCCACGCCCACTTCTTCATAGTCTTTCTCCAAGGCAGCCAGATCTTCACGGGCCTCAGAGAACTCTCCTTCTTCCATTCCTTCGCCCACATACCAATGGACAAATGCGCGCTTAGCATACATCAGATCAAACTTGTGATCCAAACGAGCCCAGGCCTCTGCAATAGCTGTGGTGTTACTCAACATACATACTGCACGTTGCACCTTAGCAAGGTCACCACCTGGTACAACTGTGGGTGGCTGATAATTGATGCCGACCTAGAAACATCGAGAAGATACTCACTGAGAAGATGGTCACAGAGCATCCCTTAGGGATGAACCAAGGGATTGGTAGTCTCCTAGCAAGAAAAATCTTTCCAGTCAAAGTTCTTTTTTCGTCTGGCAGTATGCTTGTGTAATTTCTTTAAAAAACAAAAGCAGGACAAAGATAGAAGAAAGGGGAATTGACCATTTTTCACGGTTAAACATGACAAATTGAATGGAATTTTTTTTAGTTAAGATAATCAAAGACGTAAAAGCCCCTCTCTCTGATAAGGCCCCATGTCTGTAGCCTGAAGATTTTCATCTACATAAACGGTATATCTTTTTATTTTAAGAGATTGTCAATCGACTCATTGGATGCCCTATACAATGATTACACTCAAATAGATGTAACCCAACCTTAAATCCAGTTGGGCACCAATCAACAAACTGAATGGTCCTCTTGGTCTTGATGGTGGCAATGGCAGCGTTAACATCTTTAGGAACAACATCACCCCTGTACAACAGACAGCAAGCCATGTACTTGCCATGACGAGGGTCGCACTTCACCATCTGATTGGCTGGTTCAAAGCAGGCATTGGTTATCTCAGCCACACTGAGTTGTTCATGGTAGGCCTTTTCGGCAGAGATGACAGGTGCGTATGTCGCCAGAGGGAAGTGAATTCGTGGATAGGGCACTAAGTTGGTCTAAAATAATCCAGAGAGATTTTCTGAAGTTCATTTCAAGTAACTTATAAGTCTATACAGTTGCATGATCACTTCTGGCTTGCTCATGAAAAACGTGAAAGGATTTTTCCTCAACATGGTGATTCTTCCCAAAATAGGATGAATATTTACCGGTGATTGAATCGACTTTACGTTCATACGGGTGAAAAACTCAGTTTCCAGATATACTTCTTTATTGTTTTGGTGTAAAAATTATCCCCTTTAAATAGGAGAAATTAAGAAAAGATTCATCGAGGGGCAGAAAAAGATAGTTAAAAACGTTTACGAACTTGATGACGCAAATTATAACCTTGAAAACAACGATTCGAGGAACGTTCCGAGTCGATGTCCTTTAAATTTCGTGATTTTTCCACAAATTATAGATCAAACTGTTCCATACACTCAATACTTTCTACCTATCAAGTTTTTTTAATTTTACTTTAAAAACCCTCGCTTCCAACCACCGCAAAATGTACCGTGAACCGATGACATGACGCTCGTGATTAGTGCCAATACAGGCATAAATTGGGTAAGTTTGGACCATTTTACCTTTTAAACGAGCACCATGATCTATCTTTCTTTCTGTGTTTTTCAAAACAGACATTGGAAGGGAACATTTCAGGAAAGTTTAGAACAATTGTTCCACAAATTATAGATTAAAACTTTTTTTCTAAGAAACCACTGTAAGCTTGACACCCTGGGAATAAATACGTATTCACGCACGCTTGAATATTAGAATGAAACACTTCAAAAAACAAACTATCCTATACCTGGAATTCTGTCAAGTCAACATTTAGAGCACCGTCGAATCGTAGAGAAGCCGTGATTGAGGACACAATCTGTCCAATTAGTCGGTTCAGATTGGTATAAGTGGGCCTCTCAATGTCCAAGTTCCGGCGGCAGATGTCATATATGGCCTCGTTGTCCACCATGAAAGCACAGTCAGAATGCTCAAGTGTGGTATGGGTGGTAAGAATGGAGTTGTAAGGCTCCACAACAGCTGTTGCGATCTGTGGGGCAGGGTAGATAGCAAATTCAAGCTTGGACTTCTTGCCATAGTCAACTGACAGCCGTTCCATAAGCAGTGACGTGAACCCAGAGCCAGTGCCACCTCCAAAGGAATGGAAAATGAGGAAACCTTGCAAGCCAGTGCACTGATCTGCCTGAAAAGCATCAAAAATACATCCATTCACTATGACTAAACCCACTTTACAGGTGAAAATAATCAGAGGCCCAATAGCGAAATGAAATAAACTGAAAAAAATGATTACTCGTGGTTAGAGTAACCGAGAATATTAATGGATCATCCAATGCTGCTGCTTGCTATTATTAAAAAAAAAGTAAAGTTATTAAATACTTCTAATAATATGGGAAAAAATCCAATGGTCACAGTATAACATAGTTTTCAGGAATCCTTTTCAAAAACCAGACTTACTTGATATAAAATCTATAACTACCATTCCCCGTTTAACACGAACCAGTCAAAGAGTGCATCAGCAGTCTACTCTCTCCTACTGAATGAAAGTAACAGCTTGAGCTAACAGTTAGCCGCAATTATCTATGATGATCAGTTTTACAAAGGCAATCTTACCAGTTTGCGAATCCTGTCAAGGACAAGGTCAATAATTTCCTTGCCAATGGTGTAATGGCCTCGTGCATAGTTGTTGGCAGCATCTTCCTTGCCAGTAATTAGCTGCTCAGGATGGAATAACTGGCGGTATGTACCAGTGCGGACCTCATCTGAAACACAATGAGGAGTTGGTTAATATATTAACCCTTTGCCCCTAAGAGTGATTTATCATTAGCATCTAAGAACAAATTATCCTGGTAAGTACCAGAGAAAATGAATAGAGAACAGTTAGGAGAATATGCATACTGATGTAAAGATTTAAAGGGTTAAGACGAAATTGGAATTGATAGCTTGCTTATGACCATTGCAACTTGATCATGATAGAGAATTCCATAAATAAAATTCCTATTACAAACATATTGTTAATATAATACAAAAATCATCATATTTTACTCATCTGGAATTTCTACTGATACATCTCGAGTATACTTGAGCTGTGTGGAAGCACTTAAGGAGGCTCGAAAGGGTTTTTCGTTGTTGCAGTGTTTGTGAAACGATGGAAGATTACAAAGAAGGATATTTAATGGGGTAGGCAAACTATATGTCTCCTTGCAACTCTATTGCTGGGCTATACTTTGAGGGTACTTGTGACATCATATCAGTTACCATGGCAATGCACAAGGTCCACAAAAACGTCCACTAATTTAAGTTTTTGTAAATTATTTGAAATTATCTAAACACATAGGGCTGGTCATGTAAACAAAGTTTAGCCGTTGTTTAAGGAGGCTGGAAAGGGTTTTTAGATGCACGCGCGCGCACAATCTACACACGCCACAACTAAGATGCACGCGTCAGCTGAATGAATCAAAATCAGCACACCGGAAGTTAAATGTTGCTTGAAATTGTGCGAACCGGAAATAAAATCTGCGAAATACATTTGTTTCTAGCTTGAGATTTTGTTCAATGACCTATCTTGATTTTTTGCGTGCATTCACCATTCAGGAAAAATTATCCAGTAGAATTTTCTGTAAGCCATAAATTGCATTTTCTTTAAATATATTTAATTCTACTGGATAAATTTTTTCCATACTGTCTGAAAGAAATAAAAATGGTAGGTCACTGAATTAGTTTTTCCAGATAATTTACAAAAACTAAAATTGAGTGGACGTTTTTGTGGACCTTGTGCGTTGCCATGGTAACTGATATGATGTCACAAGTACCCTCAAAGTATAGCCCAGCAATAGAGTTGCAAGGAGACGTAGTTTGCTCACCCCATTAAATATCCTTCTTTGTAATCTTCCATCGCTTCACAAACACTGCAACGACGAAAAACCCTTTCGAGCCTCCTTAACAAAACCACGTTATAAGGACTTCTAAGCCTTCAACAATATAGCCGAACTTTCGATCTGAATATTCGTTTTTGTGAAAAGACATTTATTCCATTGAATCATTGTGAAAAGACATTTATTCCATTGAATCAACCATCTTATAGAGAATCCTTGAGGTTCACTGCTTACGTAAGACCGAATTTTTTGGGATAGACCTCGTGTAAATAACCCGCCCATATATTTCTCCTCACCCAATCTATGTTGTAAATTCAATATCTATCGCTTATAGTTGGAAGTAACGTCAAAATTCAACTCCTTTTGAAATAATAGCTAGAAATTTGAATAATAATTTTTCCCATTATGGTGAAATCCTGAAATCATGACACCAATCCATAGCAACCACAATCGTAATAAAAATATGAATACCAAAC